TAGGATAAATAATATTACTATTGCTTTATTCTATATTATGTTAATTGAATTTTCACAATCACTAAACAAAAGATTTAAAAAGATATCTGATCAGGAAGATAAATGAATTAGGTGCAATAAATTATTTCATGTAAATATTTAAAAAATCACTTCTTTGTATGCTTCAACAAATTGAATTAGTCAATTCATCTCAGTATTAGCTATATTTTATCTTTTCATTTCTATTACTCTCAAATTTTGTGGTAAAAAATTTAACTTATCATATTTTACACCATTAACCTACTTTCACATAGGTAAGTTACTGTGTCAGTTATTACTTCCTAGCGACTGATGCAATTACTAATCGAATTTCCGATCCGGATTAAATTTAATAGTACTCACACTAAATCATAAAAAAAGGTTAAAGAGAAAAATTGGATCCTACAGAGAAATATAAAGTAATTTTGAAATTAAGATAAATAAATAACTTCAATCATTTTATTAAATATTCTGGTTGAAAAAAAAAAACAAGCAATAATTGTTAATTTTGTTTTACTTGTTGCAAGGATTGCTAAGCATTTCCTGTGAGCAGTTTTGATACAGTTCATTCAAGCGTGAACGGAACATTTGAATACATCGTTGATATCCGCTGGCGCACATTTTTAGATATATCAATTCTCTCAAAAATCTAAATAAGAGAGAGAGAGAGAGAGAGAGATAAATATCGGAAATGATTCGAAAAACAGAAATCATAACGTTACCTACTCTTTCTATCGCTTCCTATTTAATTTAATGGTACATTATTTATTATTTCAAAATATAAATAAAATTTAGCATATCGTTAATTATTTTGCAGCCATTTTGTCAAATAATATTCATTGCTTTTCATTCTAAAAGCAAAGATAAATGATGGGAGCATTGAAATAATTGTATATTTTAAAGATTATTTTATAAATAAGATAAATATACTTACTCAAATTCAATATTGTATGGAATATTTGAGCTACTTTCAGCTTTAATGATTCGTTCAAACAATGGCTCCATAATAAACTGCACGTATTTCTGCAATTTCGAATAATTACGACCAAATGAAAGGATTCCAATATACGCTGCACCTTTCATCTATCCCAACTTTCCAGAATAGTCTGAAAGTGGTCGATGAGTGACAACTTGAATTTCACAACCAAAGTTGCAATAGTTCGAGTGTCATCCATCCATATCAGACAATTCAAAAGTTCAACATTTATCAGACAGACAATCCAAATGTTATCAGTACTGTTGTTTCTATTTAACAATTTGTCATCCAATTCTTTTAAAATTATAATTTTGATTGAAAAGGAAAGAAAAAAAATTTTTTTTCTTTTGAAAAATAAAATTTACATTGAAAAGCGTTGCATTGGAATGACGATGAACACGATGGAGGATAGTTTCAAATCGTGTAAGAAATGTTATAAATGGTACAGCTTTTGTCTCATTTCTAAGATATAGTGACATTTTCATCGGTATCATATATGGAATGTTTCCAATTTCAGCTAACACAAATGCATCATCTGAAAAAATTTTTTAAATTCATTATATAAAAAAGTAACTCAGAATTTTGATTTTTTTTTTTAAATCAAAGCAAAAGAAATGAATGATTGTTGATTTTTTTCTCGAGCATTAAATTACTGATGATCTATGACAATCAGATCTTTAGATAATTTTTCAATGAATATTCAGAATGGATCGTTTTTGATGAAGAAAAATAAATTTGATTATCGTTTTTTTTTTTTTTTTTAAGATTAAGTAATAAATGAAATGATAAATAAACAACCGAGCAATCTAAGTCGTGATGAAACAGAAAAATAATTATGTTTGTATAGTAAATGATCAATGAGAAGCTTCCAATGATCAAGTTCATATTCGACGCGATAGTAACCGTGAAAATTTGGATCTAATATTAACGTATGTGATCCATTGAATAGTTTCACTAAAATTTCCTTGAATAATCAAATTAAATTAATAATTCATTCAATGTTTCAAACATTTTATTTGTCTAATTATTGCTCTTACGTGTGATCTAATAATTTATTTAATGCAGTTGTGCTTTTTGATTGATCCAGATGACAGGTTAAGATATGACTGTTGAAGATATGAATCAAACTGCATGCGATAATATCAAATTGCACCAAGGTAATCAATCAATAATTCGTATATTTTGCCTAGACAACCAGATATAAGTTTAAATATGATAAAGTTGAGCTTACATTTTTTATTCTCCTCTAACCAATGAATTTCATCACTTTGATTTTCACGTATAAACACCGGTATTTTCCATTGCGTATTAGCAAATCGACTATTATTATCAAAATCGAATATTTGCTGACTGATTTCAAAATAATCATCAATTTTTCGAACCTAATAACATACATTATTTGATATTCTATTTCAAGAATTAACCCATTTTCTAACTTTCGTACAGAAATAATAGTACTTAAACTATGATCATAAATTCTTAGTAATTTTGCAGTTGAAGTTGAATGTAAAATGTTCTATAAATTTACTGCAATAATTTGAACAAAATTAAATTAACAATGCAATTATTTTGTTTCTATTATGACATGAAGCAAACTGAAATATTTCCTTCTGTCCTCACTATTAAACTTCATAACTTTTATAAAATGAAACTTTTTCCCTCATCTTTCATTATGCTATTGCTAGCTTTATCAATAAGCTAATCCTATTTCTATAAACATAATAACAAATTGATTTTCATGTTAAAAAAAAAAAAACATAAGAATTCTTATTTATTAAAAGAAAAGGAATCGAATATGCAATACTTTCAGTAATGGAAATCCTCGTTGATAAATCCATGAATCAATATAATTATAAACGGAAAAATTAGTACCGGAGAAAGGATCACGATGATGATCGATAGCTTTGAAAATTCTTCAATGAGAAATAGCTGATGAATTAATTATACAATTGTAATGACGAATGAATGAATGTGAAATAAATAAAAAAGAAGAATTTGTTAAATTTATTTGAAAATTTCAAATAAAAAAATTTAACTTTACATAAGAAATGTATTTTCAAAAATTTTAGGAAAATTTGAATTATCATAAATACTTGTTTGCATAGTAAGTATATTGTAATTTTATATTATCTATCAAATATACCAAATTTTCTTTAATCTTTAAATTTCAATTAATAAACGTACTTTGAAAAACTATTTAAAAAATCGCGCTTTCCAGCATTTGCATAAGCAAATTCTACCAGATAAAGATTTAATCCCTGTCGAAATACCTCTTCACCAATCGTTGATTCCACCATACGAATTACTGCTGCTCCCTTAAACATAATTGCAATATAAGTAATATTCTCATCGCTATTGAAATCAATGAAAATTTATCCGAGCTAGAAATATCATATTAGCTAGAAATATGACATTCAAAATTTCCCAACCTAATTACAATATTTTTTAGTTTTAATACATATGGCTAAATATTCCGCAATTTTTTGTTCCACTTTTTTTTTATTATTAATAATGAAAGGACCAAGCAGTTCGAGAGCCACGATAGATTTTTTTAATTAATATAGCTAAGAGTAAATTATAATAAATACCTTATTTTTCAACGATTCAAGTGAAATTAGCAATCATAATATGGCTAAGAAGAAATTACAGTAAATACCTTATTATAGATTATTTTAATATCCTGACCATGAATACGATCACTATTTTCTTTTAAACTTATTGGTTGCGTCATTGTCGTATGTTGATCGCTTGACAATGCTTTTAGAGTAATATCAGCCACAAAACATTGTGACTGCAATGAAAAAAAAAAAAAATCATTGGATATTTTATCGTTTGAGAATTTCATTAATCACTTCATATAACTAAAGTTAGCTGATTATAAAAATATATCTGATTTAAATTAACCATCTAAAAATTATATTTAATTCAAAAAACTTAGGTGCGGGATAATTTTTCATGATTAATCTCTATCTCAAAAATATTACTTTGCAATGTATGATAAAAGCTTTTGAATTATAAATTAATAATAGGATTATGTATAAATAAATCCCTGAAAATGAGTACTAATTTTTTCGTTAGTTACTATAAGATCTGATCAAATATAAGATCCGATTAATAATATAAGATTCGATATTTTCGATATACGATCTGATTAGCATTATATTGAAATGGGTCTAATTTTATTCAGTTGATAATATTGATTGATATATTTTTCAGGAATGGATGTATATATGCGATAATCAATTTCGACTATTTTGTGCAGAAACAATTTTTTTCTAACATTCTTTTTGTAATGATTTCGCAAAAAAAAATTTTCCTATAAAATACCATTCGCAGTGCTGTATTTTCAACAAAATCAGCTGCTTTTTGTCCCATCATTGTTGCAAAGCCTTCGTTCAACCATAAATCATTCCACCAACGCATTGTTGCCAAATTTCCGAACCACTAAAATTAAAAATTGAAAAATTCTTTTTCTCATTAGACCGCTTCAAGTAATAATTAATTTCGACATGTAATACGTGAATCATTCCGGAATCGTATGATATCTGATTTTTTGTAATCTCCGGAACCGTTGAATATATGGATAATATTAAAAAAAAGATATTGCTGAACTATAAAAACTTTGATTATTTACTGATTGCTTCTTGATAATTAACAGATGAGAGGAAAAAGATGGAATTTACCATATGAGCCACTTCATGTGCAATGACATCTGTGACAACTCTCCTCTCACGTAAACTATTTAGGTGTTGATTATAAAGCATTAATTTTTGACGTATAGTAATTAAACCCCAATTTTCCATTGCCAAAACACGTAATTCGGGTACTGTGAAAATATCTAAAATAAAAGTTTAATAAACGCATCAGAATTATTAAAATATTGATACGGGAAAGAAAAACATGAAAAGTAAGGAGATAATTTTATAATTCCTAATTATCTTTAATAAATTCAAACAAATAATGAGATCTAAAATAGTTTCTAAGATAGTTCTAAAATGGTTATTTTGAAGAAAAAAAAATAATTTTTTTCTGCTCCATTACTTTAATTAATATTTTAATTAAATTTGCAAGTGAAAAGAGTTGTTTCAAAAAATTAGAATTCATAAAAATAGACTGAAAATTTGAACAGACCAAGTTTTTTGAGTGGATATGGAATTGAGAAGAAATTTTCATAATAAATTAATAATCGACATGCAACATGAAGCGCATGATCTGTGTCATGTACCACTGCCGATTGGCACCAAACACGAATCTATAAATTAGTTCATGTTTTTTTATTCCGCTTAAAATTAAGTATCAATTTATTTTTAACTAATTTCAATTAATTAAAGATTCTATTTTGTTTTTTTTTTTTGCTTGCTAGTATTTCAATCTTTCAATAGTGATGCAGGTTTCTTCTTTACATCATATACTTTCATTATAAATTGAATTGGATTATATGCTAGAAAAGATAAAAATTAGAATCAAATTAACATTTTTTAGTTCTTTCAAATTAGTATTTTTAATTTTCTTTTTTGCTGATGAATTGATGGAAATTAGAATGGGATCCGATCAAAAAAATTATTCTATTAAAACATAAAATAGTTTCTAATTTATGCGAATTTTTGCAAAAAGAAATTATGGAAATTAGTATTTATTAGATGATTTATCATTTCAAATTTTACAAATGTTTCAGTTAAGACAATGAATATGTGAAGAATATTTTCTTCCTGAAGAAATTATAACAACGACAAATAATTGCATAAATTTTAGTAAATATTAAATATTTAGCAAAAAAATTCGATTGAAAAAGCTTTGCTGAATTCTGAATTGAAAATTTCGAAAAGTAAAGAAGAATGGGAAAAAATTTTGATTAATTATCTCATGAATGAAATTGAAATGGAGCAATGTTGAGGAAAATTTTCACGATAGCAACAATTTCTATTGACATTGGAAACTCTCAGAGGAATATCATTCCTTTTTTTTTTTTTTAAATGAAATATTTTTTGCTAACTTAACAATAATTCTGTTAGTCATTTAATTTAATACATAATTAGAATGAAAAATTCTCTTTTTACTGTATTTATAAAACAAAAACAAACTTCAGTCTTTCCGCAATGACGAAATTTGAAAACAAAATCACTGACAGCTATTGCTAGCAAATAGGTAGACATTATTGGTGTCACCTCAAATTCTGTTTTACTCCATTTCCTGCAAAATGAATTCCGGCTCAAGATCATACATATTCTACAGCTAACAACGATATCGGCTAATAAATATCATTGATGCAGTGAAAATATTGCACAGACAGAAAGTAAATATTCCAAATGTAGTATGGATGAAAATTTTTTTAGCAAAATTGTTTCATATTTATTACATTACTAAATTTAACCATTTATGGACAAATATTTATGCTGCAGTTCTCCATTCTGCTACCATTTATTTACTACGTGTCTTTTTTTTTTTTGTCAATTTGTTTTTCACACTTAACAGTACTGATTTATCATTCATAAGACAATCATTAGTTTTAATTAAATTTTTTCGCAATTTTAACCTAAGTTTCTTTTTTTTTTCAAATTTCAATTGGATTTTTCTTCCATAACAATTTACCTAATATATTTGCAATATTACAGCAATGAATAAATTAGTCGATCAAAATAATTGAAAGATTCTCACGAATTAAGATGACGATAGCGACGAACTGGTGAATTGGAGACAGCTGATGTACCTATTGGATGAATGATACTAATCCGGAATGCTGCTTTCATTTCTGGTTCATCGAAACAGGGCAATAAACGACTTGCATCTGTTGGTTGCAATTGTGTAAGTGCTAAAAATCTAAAATAGAAATTTAATTAGTTGGATATTACTGCTGTTTGATGATTTTTTTTTTCACTGGAATTTATAAAAGTTTCATACTGGAATTTATAAATTGATCATGTATGGAAAAAAATACAATCGGAATAAAAAAGTATATATACATATATTGATCCCAATGCATTTTTCGGTATTTATAAAGAAAATAGAAAATTGATTGAAACATTCTTCTTTCATTCATTTCATTTCTGTTATGCTCATGAGAACGATTTTTCACAAATATGTGAGCATTTTCTAACAAGAAGAACTTTTCCCTAATTGTTTACTTTAAAAACAAAATTTGCATTCTGTGCTTAGTTCATTTTTTTTAGAGAGAAATTTATGGAATATCGGAGGAAGAAAAAGAAAAATGGAATAATATCTCTTCAAATTGGCAAAAAAAAAAAAAAGAAAAAAACGATTATGTATACATCATATTTTTGCAAAATAGTATCACTAAAATGCTATTTTAAAGTTATGGGAAATATTTTTCAATAAAAATAAAAATAGAACAACGGATGAATAAATAATGAAATTTTTAGGATAACATTATCTTTCACAAAATAATATCTCTTAGTAGCCAAAATTAAATTCGGCAATGGTAAATGTTAAACTATCAAAATCATTTCTGATAACAGGAGAGTAAATTCGATTATTCATTTTATTTTATCAAAAAAAAAAGAAGAAAAATTATCCATAAAATTTACAAAGATTTAAAGAAATTTAGCCTTTAAAAAAAATTCTTGACACATTTAGAAATTTCTTATTTTGTTTGATAATTCCCTGCAAAAATGATTATCCAGTTATCATAATTGAAATACTTAAGCAACATAATTATTTCACATTTCGGGAAGATTCAAGAAAGAGAAAAGAGAAACAAAGTAAAGTGAAAAAAAAAATTACAACTAACCTTGTCTCTCCATTGATATCATACTGAGTCCTGTAAAGACCACCAGTCCAAACATCATTGATAACACCTTGATATTTAATATAAATCATATAATCATGACCAGGAAGAAGTTCCTGCATTAGTACCATCCCAACAGCATGAATATCATCCACTTCATGCTGATATCGATACATACTGATCAATGGTATCGATTCATTACGATCATTTTGCAGTTTTATATCATTTTTATCAAATTTCAAATTTTTAGCATTTAAAATTATTCGATCAGTTGCATGTAAGCAAACAATACGAATTGCTACACTTGCATGAATGCTAAAATTTCGTTCATTAAAATTTAATCCTTCTCGATATGGAAGAAATGTTTGTAATTTAAGATTGTAATGTAATGGATAAATGGTTTTAGGTAGCCTGAAATATGGCTGTGATGTTATATTTGAAACATTATTAGTGATGGAACTATGCAATATTGTTTGCTGTTCGAAACGATGTTTGGATGAAAAAATCAGAAAAGCCAATAATAAAACGATGAATGCAAAAAAGATCATTAAGATGATTAAAATTTGAATTTGTAATGGCGAATTAGCTTCTTTGTAACGTATTTTCGTTTCTTTCCGCATTTTTCATCAGTAAATGATAATAACTGATAAACGATTAAAGATCAAATTTCCAATCTATTTCTTCGTTTCTCTCCATAAAAGCAGTAATCAAATATAGATGGTACTTTTCTCTTTTTCTTTTTGTTTAGCGCATTTGGCACAAATGCAATTGTTTGCAGAGATAATAAAATTTACGCCAACATAAAGATTAAACAAAGTAGCAGCAAATCCTCAGTAAAATAAAATATTGAAAAATTTGAACCATTTATTTGAAGTTTTAATTTTTCAAATACTTTCAGTTATAATTTTTTAAGGAGTGGAATAATCCACTTGATTGAATAATATATACATATTACATTTGTCATCAATTTTGTTTAACAGTCTAATGATGCTAATGATCGATTAACCATGTGATACAATCAATTCCGCTTGCAACATTTTTTGCAAAAAAATGAAGCAACAAAAGATCAGCTGATAAGAGTGAATGAGATTGTGCTGGGGTACGACAACTAGAAATTAGCAAAATATTTCAGGAAAATAGTCGATCCACAAAAGTTATCAATTAATAATACCAATAGATACTATGAATTAGTGATCTGTAATTTAGATTTTTAAATCATAAAATATTTTTTGAATTAATGAACTAAATTAACATTATATGGAATTGCATAGAATAATATAATTTCTCTGCTCGATTCCATTAATTGTAATGAATGCTTAAATGATGAAATATCGCAGCATAGTAGAAATTTTGACGGATATTTATTTTGACAGATAAATAAAAAAAAAAAAAATTGAAAAAATAACAAAGAAATAAAAGATTTGAAGTAGTGATAGTGATAATAGATGGTATTAGTGGGTAGTAGTAGCAATAGTTGTTGTTGTTATAGTAATAGCATGCATATTGGTTTTCCTGTTAATCAATTTGAACAATGAGCATTTGAAATACGAAGTGCTCCACTCCGGAAATGAATTGGATAGAGTGAGAAAAGTAAAATGTATGGAAGATGTGAAAGAGAATGAGGATAATAGGAAAAGATGGATTGGATTAAAAGGAAAATAGGGTTGAATGTCCGTGAGAAGAGATAGACAAACTTTCAAAATAAAATTATATATTTGACTAATTAAATCAATTTTCTTCTCTACTCCCAGAATGAATAGCGGCTCTTTCAATATGCTTCATATATAGCTATTGCTAATTAATCGCAACTGCCACCGTAGTTGCGCCTACTTTTTCCGCCAATAATTGCAACCTTTTTCTCTCAATTATCTATCCTCTTTCTACATCTGTTGTTGGTGTTTCAAATGAATGAAATTCAGAAAATTAATATGGAGAATGGAGAAGAGAGAATGCTATTCTCTCAAATTTGCTAATTTAAAAAAAAAAAAAAGCGCGTGCATGTAGAGAAAGTGAATAAATTAAGAATAAATTAGATATGGAATGATTCATTCATGTAAATGGATGTTATGATTATAAAAATCATAATATCCATTAACAATAATAATAGTGATAATAATAGCAATATTAAAAACA